ATATATAGCGAAAACCCTCTGTAGATATCGAAGATTACATTATTCTGGGAAATCCTTCTAATACAACCTTTACATATACAGAGTCTATGATTAAGTTGAATTTTATGGACATTGAAAGACCAGGGGGTCTCATCCTCATTCAAGCGGTCTCAGGTAGGTTTTCACTATATATTTTGAATATCCAACTGGCACTTTGGGCGCTCCGTAAACATAGAAGACAGAAAGTGTACCCAAATTCCTTTTAGTCACGTTTGTATCTACCTATTAACTAAATGTCTGCATAATATTAGAAAGATTGAAAGATCAGGGTGCTCTCGCCATTGCCCTGTGCCCTTTGTCCTAAAATTTTGACAATTTTTAGCTGAAAAGTGACAATCTAATAGATATAAGAATATGTGGTATGAGTGCCAATGAGACAACTCTCCATCCAAGTCAAAATTTATAAAAGTAAACCATTATAGGTCACAGTACGGTCTTCAACACGGAGCCTTGGCTCACACCGAACAGTAAGCTATAAAGGGCCCCAAAAATTACTAGTGTAAAACCATTCAAACGGGAAAACCAACGGTCTAATCTATATAAAAAACGAGAAACGAGAAACACTTTTGAACCACATCAACAAACGACAACTACTGAACATCAGATTCCTGACTTAGGACAGGTGCAAACAAATGCAGCGGGTTTAAACGTTTTAATGGTACCAAACCTTTACCCTTTTTCTGAAACAATAGTGTAACATCACAACATAGAAAGACACACTATAAAATATCAACTGAAATAGCTTAACTCAATCAAAGGACATATTAACACCATTGCACATACACTGAACAAATAAATTTGACCTATGACACAATGTAAATACAAAATAAATAAACTAAGGGAAGAATAATAAAAGTAACATGTTATATCGGTAAGAAATGTTAAACAATTCAAGAAAAACAATATACTCGAACAAAAATATCAGCCATTTGCAATAACTTTAAACACAGGTAAATGAAAATAATTTTGTTGTTAGGTATACGTGTACAGTACCAATAGAGAAAGGAAATATTTTTACAAAATAAATAATTTTGATGTTCATAGTTCATAAGCCCTCCGTAGATATCGAAGATTACATTATTCTGGGAAATCCTTCTAATACAACCTTTACATATACAGAGTCTATGATTAAGTTGAATTTTGTGGACATTGAAAGCCCAGGGGGGTCTCACCCTCATTTAAGCGGTCTCGGGTAGGTTTTCACTATATATTTCTTTTTTGGGCTTTCCATAAATATTTCTATTTATATTTCTAAATGTTTCTAGAGTTATAGGTTTTTCCTTTGGTGTTAAGAAATATCATATATAAAAGTACATATTTGAAGTTGTTTTATTGATAAAAATCTATATTACATAAAGACAAATATGCAACTTAGAAAAGGGTTTATATTCGAGGACAACGAGAATTTACGACAGCTTGAAGAGGTCATTAAACGATTTCCTACGTATCTTATCAGTCCTCTTAACTATGAAAATCGTGCTTTTAATGTTATCAAGTATTTATTTTTTTATGATTTTCAACTAAATTTTGAATATCCAACCGACTGCTAGCAGCCGGTTGGATATTGAATATCGAATATCGAATAACGAACCGGCTGCTAACTTCACATACATCACTACAAGTAGTAAACAAAAAATTGAAAAAAAAATCTGGGAAATTATGTACTCCCTGCTACACTAGTACGCACTTCAAGGTGCTAACGATATGAAAAATCATCTTGTAAAATTCTCCAATAAGAACTTTCCATACATATGTAGCAACATTCCGATGGCACACAATGGAGTATAGGTACACATGTGCTTTTATAAGGAGGTTATTACATACAAGGAAACTAGTAAATCAAGGACGGAATAGGTGAATGGTCAAATAACACATTAGGTTTTATGAATGGATATTTATTTAGAATATGTTTAAACCAAATTAAAGGTCGGATCTTTAATCACATGTTTCTAGTTCACATGTATGTTGCATTTCTTTAGCAACATATATATTTATGAAACTAATTAAAAGTAAGGGACTTATGCTTCCTTACTCGCCAAGCGCTATTTAAAGAGGTTCTTTGTGTTCTTTATAATGACTTGTCAACAATCACAAAGATATGAAAAATAAATTTGATCTATGACACAATGTAAATACAAAATTGATAAAACAAGGGGGTTAGATGTAAAACAATATCAGAAAGACAACCATAACCTTGGTTATATATACATATCTACTTCTAAAGACACAAATAAGGGAGGTATGCGGGTGGGAATACTTCACAAATTGTTTGATAAGAATATCACATACACGTGAACTCGTGCTGACAGCTAACCCCGCAAGATCATTGACCTATAAGAAAGATTTAATCAAATCATGCACAGGTCATTAGTGAAATTTCTCTACACGTGAAAACATGTTATCTAATTTCAACAATTTATCGTTTAATTAAGTATGACAAATCTGACCCATTGACCAGTACAGAGACATCATAAAATTACTGTATAAATAGCTCCCTCTCTTTATTTAAGTCTGAGCAAAAAACAATACAGAATTAATCTTCCCTGCTGCCTTAAATGATTTTATTCAGCTTTTCAATTAGCAAATAAAATTAGCTGTTTATAAAAGATATCAAGGACCCCTGAACCAACTGAATCCAAATTGTCCGATTTGTAACTCATGTTATTACTTCCGATCTGATAAAAAAAAAGTCCTTTGCTATTTTAACAAAATAAATCCAGGTCAGCAATCAGACTACTGCGAACGTCTAGTGTGTGTGTGTGAGTGGACATCAAATTTTACCCTTGTCCATCTGTACGTCTGTACGTCCAAAAATTAGTTTCCGTTTTCTAACTTTAGTTTGCCTTAACCGAACGTTCTCGAGTTATGCCCCTTTATAAATGGATAAATTGCTAAATTTGCCATTTCCGCTCTCTAACTTTAGTTTGCCTCAACCAAATGTTATAAAACTTATACACAATGATTATCACCACCAAACACAGATCAAGTTCGAATGCGGGTGGCATCGCTTTCGCCGTTCTTGAGTTATGTCCCTTTGAAATTTAAAAATTGCAGAATTTGCCGTATATTTACAAATGAGGGCACATGTGTCTCATGATCACATTTTCCTTAATTTTATTTGTTTGTTTATATTGTTCTTTGGTGTATTTTCGTTGTTTTATAGAATACACGATAGGAATTTGTACATCAGGTTAAAATTGATATGTTTTAATTGTAATACACGACCTTTTAAATTTTGGAATGAGTAAGCACTCAGTTACAGAAAGAATCTTACGTTGAAGAATGAACAAGTCAAAGAGCACGAAAATCGTAAAGCAAAATTTGATTTAATTCATTTATTTCAATATTTGAAGAGAACTTTGGGTCTGCCATAAAACAAACTTTAAAAGTAAGAAGATTCCAAGATAAATACAGATGAGAAATAAGGCTGCTGGGAACCTCTAGTGTGTGTGTTTTGTATTGTTACATAATTGTTAATATTGTTCTTTTATGTACTTTAATCATGCCAATGAGTATTCAATAGGAGTTTGTACTTTAGGTTAACATTGAAATGTTTTAACTGTAAGTCACGCATTTTTTATTCTGGAAGAAATTTAAGCATAAGAAATTAGCACTCAGTTACAGAAACATCTCATATAGAAGCATGAACTAGTCAAAGTATATAAATTAGTCTACTATAAAAAAAAAAGTAAGAAGATACAAAAAACGTTGGTACAACAAAATTAAGATGGCGTCTATAATACTTTTGAAGAGGTGACTTCAACTTGACCATTCCTTTATTTGTATGTTTTTCATTGAAATAAATTACTTCACAAATAATACATGATGGTCTTAAAGTATAGATTCTATGTACTGACGTTGTTTATCATCTTAATTACGTATTATAGTGTTCTTTTATTTGTACTTGTAAATTATTAACCTTTACTGTTTAGTCCATTTTTGGTAATATCCTTTTTGCGTGGCTCGGTACTTATACATCCCGCCATTGTGTTATTGTGCTGTGGTCATTTTTTTGTATTCTTGTCTTTCATTTTTGCTTATGTGCTTTGTCTATATGCCATTTTATTTTTCGTTGTTGACATATTTGTTTGTTTTTATAGTGATTAAGATTATAACACAATGTTGACTGCTGTACCCCTATTTTTGACATTTTTTCCTATTATGTCTGTTTGTTTTGTTCACACATTGTTGTCAATACTATGGAATTTGATACGACTGTCATACAAGTGAGAGGTTTAGCTAGCTATAAAACCAGGTTTAAATCACCATTTTCTACATAAGGAAATACCTGTACCAAGTCAGGAATATAACAATTGTTTTCCATTCGTTTGATGTCTTTGAGCTTTTGATTTTGCCATTTGATAAGGAACTTTCCGTGTTGAATTTTCGTTGGAGTTGTATTTTTGTTATTTTACTTTTTACTACAGTGTCCATACGACATTAGGAACATTTGGTTCAAAGCTTCCTAGTTTGCAGCAACAAATACTGTGTGGTTGATCATTAAAATGATAATTTTTATGGGAGTTCTACTACTAGTATCCCTGCTGCAATAATAAGAGAGAAAAGAAAACCATATGTAGATGTAAATTTTTAGTTCATAAATTAAGTAATTGCACTTAAACTAAGATTAAAATTCTCCCAAGGCAGAGCTTACCTTAGATGGCTTTGAATATTCTTCAAGGCAACTTTTTTCAATGCTCTCAATTTAGCTTTCCAAACTTTAAGTCTTGATCGTACCTGAGGAAAGTTATCTATTTTGTACCCATTGAATCAATGTCTTTCAACTGCATATATATATATATATATATATATATATATATATATAAGTCTAAAGATTTGCACAACGGTACTAATATATGATGGTGATATACGAAGATGATGTAATAAAATCGTGTTGACAAATATTTCGGCTAAACAAATAGCCTTCGTCAGTGTCAATAATTTTTACAATACATAAAACATACAATGAAAAAATATTTATATTTCACATTAAGATTGTTCTATGTAATAATCAGAAGTAAAAATACGTAAATTTGGTAAGTACCAACACAAAGATAAGGCCATCAACCATGGTATAAATCAATTTCTTTTATAAGATTGATTTAAATCAATAAAACATACATCTGTAACATGTTTGATTGATCTCACTAGTAATTTTTAATATTTTCTATATCAATTTCTACAGATTATGTCTTGTTATAAAATTATATGACATAAAATCTACTTTTAGGAAAAAATTTATATAAGTTGTTCAATATACTGAAAATTAAATCCAACTATCTAATAATGTAAAACGTTCAGATTGGAACATTTATATAATATGCTAATATATCACATACGAAGTTCTAGTCTATACGAGGGACAAAGCATCAGACCATTTGCAGAATAATTATGTGACTAAGTTACAGATCTTACATAAAGGGTTTTTAGGAGTACCAGAAGGCGGAGCAAACCCACGCCCAATAGTTGGTGTTGCTTCTATAAAACCATATTGCAGCTCTAAAGCTCTTTTCACATTAATGGTTTCAGTATAAAACACATCAACAGTGACATCCATATTTGCCAATACGGTGAATGCACCGTTACATTCTACTCTCAAACACAAATATGGATTATGAAAAATGTTTAACTCTGTCAAGTACTGTCGACAAAAATTGTTATGAGTTGATAATTTTGGCATCAGAATGATTGTCACATGATGTCGTTTATAGTGACAGAAAAAATCCGCAAAATATAAATTACACTGCGGATTAAACATCACCAAAGATTTGAGATACAATCTTATTGGTCCATAGTGAGAACATGGATTTGGCAAGTTAGTCGTAGTATCGATATATGAGCTGAAAAATAAACCAGGTAATCGACCATTCACAACGGAACCCTGTTCTCCGCCATTACTTTTCAAATACGGTCGCATTTCTCCATTTAGATAGTTCGAATTCAGTATAATTAGAAAATATTCCACTGATTTATTCCTATAGAAGTACTGTATAGGCCGCATGTTCGGGTAGACTTTTCTTGTTCCGAATGATATAGCAAGATCATACAATCGTTGTGTATCAACCAATGATAAAACTAAAATATAAAATGTTTTACTGAAATGAAGTAATTTAAAAGTAATAGTTTTCGTTAAGAGATTATTGTATTCGTCGTATTCACATTTAATTCCGGTAAAAAACAAATACAGTTGAAACCAAAAATGCATACTGTCAAATAGGATAGTTTTTTCTTTTTTCTTCATATCAATTCAGTTGAAGGGTAATGAACAGTGTATAAGTTTGATTATAATTAAAGGGGCATTTTCTGTCAAATTCATTTTTACCGATTTGACTTAAATTCTTAAATTGGATTTATAACATACTAAAACGTATACTAGTATCCAAATTACAAAAAGTCTAAAATAAGCAATAGACAATACATGGACTGGATAATATGTATCAGCATTTCGTTTGTTTTTTTTATGCATTGACGTCATATAATTAACCATCGAGATGACCTCCGAAGACTACCAATGGTAATACAACCCGAAATAAACATAAATATAAATATATATAGATAAGAACTACGTGTAATTGGATTTTTCTAGGTCGGTTTGATTTCATATCGTAGGTTAAAAAGTATGTTTATCATTATACCGGTATAATAATGATTTTTTTGTGGATCGAAACAGTCAACCAAATAGTTCATCCTTGTTTCACTTTTAATGTTGACATTCTTTTCCTTTTAATAGCTGAATTCATGCGTAACCCATCTCTAGCTAAGGGATTAAATGGAAAGTCACTTGAATACGGATTGAATGAAATCGAATTATTCACTTGTAGGTGAATAATTCATTAGTGATGTTTCATAGCTTATTTTGACAATATTAAACCAAACAGGCTGCTTAAATAATTATTATTTCACTATTTCCCATTCTTTAATGATTCAAAAATAAAATCATATTTCTATTTTTTTATATAGCTAATGCCACTTTGAAAATTTATTAGGCAGTGATCCATTAATTCAACTGGACAATCAAAATAAATATATATATTTGATATTTTGAACAAGTTATCGCGGATCACAGGTTTCCTTAGCTGGTTTCGAAGCCTTTTTGGGGGGTTATTTTGCTTTATTCGGCTTCAACAATAAATAAAAATGGAAACATAATAATGTTGGAGCGTTTCCGTTGTAATTAATTTGTATTGTATAGTATAGAGATTTTATTTTAAATACCTTGTATTTATATACCTATATGGAGTTATTTTCTTTCAGAACGATAGGTCATTCTTTCGAAGAATCAACCCGGACGATACTATGTTTCAATGAAATATGCTCTAAGGAATAAAATAATGACCTGTGTGAGGTCATTATTTTCCTTGAGAAAAATGCAAACTATAATTTACTTCAAAATTATATTCGTCTGATAGTTTCTGTTGCCGATTTGGGAATTTATTTTTTAAAGTTCAATCTATGATAGGTGTAAAAAAAAATCGTCTAATATGAAGTTTTGTTAATTTATCGCTACAATACAGAGACATTATCATATAAGCGAGATGAATTTTAATGTAAAACTTTCATGACACTTTAAAATAAAGCCAGATTTAACATATTCGTGTGTAAGTTTTGAAAATCTTATTGATTCACACTGAATAGGTTGATTGATTGATGGTTACTTAACGTCCAGTGGCAAATATTTCATGCATGTTCAGGACGATACACACTGAATAGGAAATCATACTGTGACCTACATGTATTGATATTCGTTTTCGTGTAACATGTACATGTATCACGATTTCGTGCCCCCTTCGTGTCAGTTCTTAACTTTACATTTATGTATACCTTTTACTCTATCAAATGATTAACTAATAAAATATTCTTATATTCTATTGAATAACATTCACGTACCTCACAATGAGGTCGGGTGGGGGGAGGGTATATAATTATATCCTGATTATCTGTTAAAAAAATGTATTGCTATTCAAAAGAAAATCATTCTGAATATTTCATTCGATTCAGTTAAAATTGTTGAAAAAATAATCACTTTTCCGCGATAAAATGTCATTACAAATAGACAAAAAAAAAACATAGCAACTCCCTCTCTATTTTTGACGGTATATAAGTCAGATAATGCATATTTTAAGGTTTTTCTTGTCGTAGAACACAACGAGGGGTGTCAGGATTGCCCAATCCTAACACCCCTCGGTGTGTTCTACGACAAGAAAAACCTTAAAATATGCATTATCTATAACATAACTTTTAACTTTTAAATTGTGTTATATGGTATTTACTCTTACTATACAAATAGAGGAGAAACTAAAAAAATTTGATTCATTTATAATAACTGTCTCTTTTGGTATAAACACCACATATATAGAAATTAAAAGATGTGGTATGAGTGCCAATGAGACAACTCTAAGTCAAAGTCACAATATGTAAAAAGTAAACAATTATAGATCAAAGTACGGCCTTCAACACGGAGCCTTGGCTCACACCGAACAAGAAGCTATAAAGTATCCCAAAATGACTAGTGTAAAACAATACAAACAGGAAAACCAACGGTCTAATCTTTATAAAAAAACGAGAAACGAGAAATACTTATAAACCACATCAACAAACGACAACCCCTGAACAACAGGTTCCTGACTTAGGACAGGTGCAAACAAATGCAGTGGGTTTAAACGTTTTAACAGGCACCAACCTTTACCCTCACAAGAAATAGTAGTGTAACATTACAACATAGAAAGACATATAATAAAATATCAATTGAAATGGCTTAACTCAATCAAAAAGACATATTAACAAAAACAAGTAAAAATACACTGAAGGAATAAATTTGATCTATGACACAATATAAATACAATATTAAATACAAAAAGGGGGGGGGGGAGATGTAAAACAATGTCAAAAAGACAACTCTAATCTTAGACAAAATTGCGTTAAATAAAATAACGTACACAGGTATTTAAATAAAATAATTTTGTTGTTAGGAGTACGGAAATATTTTTTACAAAATAAATAAATTTGTTGGTCATAGTACGAGAACAGAAGTGAAAATATATCGTCATACTAAATACTTATCAAAGGTGGTACATATTAAAACTGGTGAGACGAGATATAACACAAAATAGGTAAATACTGAATAATAAAAATGCATTACAAATTGTGTCAACAGGTCAAATTAACACGAAAGTACGATTTGAGAATACTCGCAGTTACTGAAACCTAGTTAAAAGCCAAAAACAATTGATAATAAAAAATCATGGATCAGAGACTAAAATCAACTAAAACATATCCCAGGGATATAGTGTTTCAACGCCAAGGACAGTCAAAGAAGACATGACTTGTGCAATGACAAAATAAAAGTATCGACAGGCAGTAATAAATATGTATAATGTTATATATAGATAAATCAAACTCTAAATAAAAAAGAACATCTCCTTTTATCCATTTTTATAAAGTTTCTGTGTTTTTTTTAATGAAGATTCAGTTTCGATAGAAAAAAAATATTGAAATTTAGAATTGCTATTACTACTATTTAGTTGGTTCATTCATTTCATTTTGTATTTTTCTCCTCTATGTCAGCCTTTACTTGACTTTTCAAATAGTCTTTGATATAACATAAAAATACGTACATGTTTTGAAACGTATCACATGGCTATGCGATACTGTACTTGCTACCCAAATGCTTCCTTCTATCTGCTGCTGTCGACATGTACACAAAATCTTACATTCAACTGAAGATGCAGATGGCAACTCAAAAGGAAACTTCATGTTAAAACACCGACCATTGATAATGTAACAGCGGAGCTGATATTTTACTTTGACAAAGACGATAAAATGTTTTTCGTCTTTGAATATGAGGTTAGCATATAATCTGTAAAGTGAAGGAGGTTGGCGATCAACAGTTACTGGCAAAATACCCTACAATCAAACAAAAAGCTATGATGTTTGTCTCAGAATCATGTCAGCACAGAAATGTCTCTCAATGAACCAGATTGAAAATAATATGAATACGAAGTAGTAGTATATATTCTTGCTTCTTTCCTGTAGACTGTTCTGTCCTAACACACTGTTTTTTCGTTTATTTTTTCTATTTTTTTGAACATCGGTAAACTATACTCACCATAATTTACTGCATGATGAAGTTCTTGAATTTTTTTGTCCTGCTATTTTTTAATTTATATTTTCATGGTCTACTTCTTAACTTAAGTTATTAAGTTGTATTGTACATTCGTACAAAATATAACATTTCTTATATGTATGCTTGTCAGATCTTATTTATGCTTGTCAGATCTTTTTTATAGGAAATTGGCTCCCTTCTCGTTCACTTTGCAGAACTTACCTATTGTATAATTGATATTGTTTTTCATCTGGAATATGAATGAAATAAATGCCACTGCGATATAAGTAAACAACAATCAATTAACCAATCAATAATATTTGCACCTGTTGTAATTTATTCAAACACCAATGCGAAAGTAGCTACCCTACGGCAAAAGCACAAAATCTAAAACCCGGAAGATCTAGTCAAATTAACAAAAACCTTTGTATAAAATTAAATCGGATTTCATCTTTCCATAGTATCTTCCTATATTTAAGACGTACAATACGTTTTTTTTTTTTTTTTTTGCGAACGAATTACTATATACTGGCTTTCAATACACTCGGCATCCGCAAATATCCTTTGTCTAAAAAAGGAACTTTTAATGTCTATTTCCTATACTAAAAATGAAAACATAAAGAAGAACAAGCTGTAGGAGTGCATTTCATGCCGACAAAAAGTACTTTCAATTGAAATTATACGTGCACTATTTTGTACGGCATGCATCCTTACTTAAAAGAAATGTAAAGATTTTCTATTTAAAAAAAAAAAAAACACGCACACTCCGAACGTCAACCCCGAACCCCTTCAATTCCCAGAAGGTTCCAACCCCAAAAAAAACATTTCAGTGAGCCCTGCTCTGATTTATTACCTTTCATTTGAGCCACGTCCGATACGTTTTTACTTCATTTCTAATATAATTATTCCACCATTTTCTACATAAGGAAATGCCTGTACCAAGTCAGGAATATGACAGTTGTTTTTCATTCGTTTGATGTGTTTGAGCTATTGATTTTGCCATTTAATAAAGGACCTTCCGTTTTGAATTTTCCTTGGAGTTCGGTATTTTTGATATTTTACTTTTTACTACTTTTATAATCATAGATAACAGCCGCTTGTTTTTGTCTTAATTATTACCAAGAGGTATAAAGAATACAATGTTTGCAGATTATATTACCTGAGTTGCTGTTGATGACAAGGGCAAATGTATGTCTTCTTCGAATTCTTTCAAGGGCACAGTTATTTGAATCCCTTCTGAATCTTAAAAAAATTCAATAGATTAATTTGATTATAACAAGTGTTTTGCTTGTATCCTTTTTTGTTTAGAACATTTGACCCTTTACTGATAAAATAAGCATAACAAATGCAAAGTAAAAGCTTTTTGTTCTAATCAAGGGGAATATACTTTAATACGTTGATATATAAATAAGATGTGGTATGATTGTCAATGAGACAATTCTCCAAAACAAATACGTTGATATGTTTGTTTTAAAGCACAACATTGGTTTATTACATTATATATAAAACTGCAATTTAAGTATCCAACAACTTCATGATATCATTTTCTTACTGAAGATGCATATAAACTGATAGAAGAATACGCATACACATTTAAAAATACCAACACCTTATAATGAATATCCCGATTTCCCGCTATGTTAATTATACGAAAGGAATGTTGAAAATATATTTGTTTTTACAAAATAGATACATACACTCAATTTCTTTATTTCCATAACATACTCCCATATCATATTGGCCTACACTTGAAATGACTGTTTTGAGTCCGTATATATACACAATGAAGTTATTCTTTAGATTAAAACTGTACAATGATATAGTTAATTCACTTTGACAACTTTGACGAGGGTTGATGAACATGTTCGTTGATGAAATATCGGATTTATCCACCAATACCATGAATATTACATCAAAACGAAAATAAATCGGACAAATTATTTTCAAATGAATTATACGATGATCCTTGTCCATGAGCTTTACAGACAATGATGTAACCTGGAAAATGAAATTACGCTGATCTTTATTAAATATGCATATAATGGCAAGTGACGAACACGTCAGCTGTGCACATCTAACTGAAATCACTGGCACCTGGAAAAGAAGGCAAACATATAAATAGTGACGTACACAATATTATATGTAGCAACAGCCAATACCATAAAATGAGCTGAAAGTAACTGATAAACCATTAAAAGACTAAAAATAGTATAAATAAAGTGAGCAACAATAAAAACCTTGAAAAATACAAATAGTCAACGAAATGTTCTGAATTACATGTTCAACTCACAGGACATGCACATATATGATCTAATCTGATAGAGTTTCAAAAGATTAAACAGCGGGATGAATACTTATAAGCAACATACGCAACACGACGGGTGCCACATGTGGAGCAGGATCTGCTTACCCTTCCGGAGCACCTGAGATCACCCCCAGTTTTTCGTGGGGTTCGTGTTGCTTAGTCTTTAGTTTTCTATGTTGTGTCATCTGTACTATTATTTGTCTGTTTGTCTTTTTATTTTTGGCCATGGCGTTGTCAGTTTGTTTTCGATCTATGAGTTTGACTGTCCCTCTGGTATCTATCGTCCCTCTTTTATACAGTGTAACTACATATAAATACATATAAAACACATTGCGTTTTATTTCAAAAGTGCAACATTCTACACAAAAACATGTCATAAACTCTCATCATACATCGACACAAAACCATTCAATCAAGCCCCATACGTTCCATTGCTCTGCTAAATTAATATTTTACGTTTGACCCAACGGATATATCATAAAAGCCTATTAGCAACTATAAGTCAGACAAGATGTATATGTCGTCAACTGACTAGTCTCTAACACAAAACCATTCAATCAAGCCCCATACGTTCCATTGCTCTGCTAAATTAATACTTTACGTTTGACCCAACGGATATATCATAAAAGCCTATTAGCAACTATAAGTCAGACAAGATGTATATGTCGTCAACTGACTAGTCTCTAATACAAACAAAGGTATGTAGACATCTTCATATACATTTAAAGCACATGTGACCCGGCGTTTTACTGCTAACATTCATACTAACCAAATAGATATCTTGTGTTTTTAGATAATTTTTCTAATTTTTTTAATTCATTTTGCCTATTATTTTCTTTTCTGTATATTTTAACATCCAATTATTCTCTATTCTTTATTTTTTTGTTCTATTTTTCTCTTTTTAAATGTTGTTTAGGCCTTTATTTTGCAGTTTTTGCCCATTATGCTTCATTTGTAAACCCCAACCAGACCCTCTTTTATTGAACATATGCTCTGCTGTTTTTTGCAAAACAAACAAAAAACTTAGGCTTCACATACTAGTATTGAATCTGATTTAACTGTACGTTGAAGAAAACTAAAGTGTTCATCAGAAACATCTGATGGTCAATCAGACACCTCAAATTTATTTCTTGCGTTTTATCTGAGAAAAAATCATGGTTCGTAGCCATGCATTATAATTGTCAGTCCTTTTATATAATTTTTGGGTCACCTTCTCCATGATCAAAATGCGGAATCGGTATCATAACATTACAGCAAATATTGGCCTCTTCCAAAATTAGGTTCAATCTCTAAAGCATGTGATCTGTTTGTGTCTCTGTAACTTTAGTTGTGTTTTTGTACCTTTAGTTGCATTTTTTGCTGAGTTTGAATTTTTGTTCTTTGGAACAAAGAAAACATAAAATAGATGTTCAATAACGTTCGTCCCCTTTGTTTTACAGCAAATTACATGATCTGTGCATTTATGTAAGTACAATGTATTATTAATTTTAGTTTCAAATTCTTTTATGTTTATGAGTTAATGTGGTTCAACACAGTTAAATAGAATATAACCGGAAAACTGTTCACATTAATAATATTTGATAAATGAACAGGGAATGAAAACTGTTCACTTAGATCATAAAGGGGTAATACATACGATTTATCTGTCTTTATTTGATTTATTCTTATCAAACAAAGGATCTTTGTATTATTGATAATCCCATTTCAAGGAATTTGCAAAATAATTCTTAAAACTTTCAGTATTTCTGTTAAATCACTGGTCATTTTCAGGGATTATATATAATCACTAATGATTTTAGTGATCATGCAAAATCCCTGAAAAATCAATGATTCTACATAATCCCTAATTATGCAATTTAGTGGTAAAAAGAAACGATACAAGACAAGCATTTTCCAAATACAAATGTATAACGAAATTTGATACAAATTAAAAAATATGGGCAATTGGTCTAATTTACAAAGGGTTGCTATCTCACCAAAATCACTGGATTAAAGAAAAAAAAAGTTTTTTGCATGTTCTTTTTTAGAATAAGTTAGTTCACGAAAAATTTCAAAATTCGAAATTGAAACTAGCGATTTCCAATACTAAATTATCATCTGCAAGTGTCGGTTTTTTTGTCATCATACCCGCCAAAAATATGTGTCTCCTTTGTTTTTCTGTATTTTCGCACTTTCCGACTTGGTCAGATCTTCTTAATTTTTCTAGGGTTTTTTAACAGTTTTTCATATTTATTACAAAATCATGTATCATTATTATGCAACTTAGTTATAGAGCATTTACGTCCACGTATTTTGATACTTTTTAACTTGAAACACTGTATAGGTTGCGCTTTGCAAATATAGCTAATTCACAAACCACACCTCTTTTGGGGATTTACTTAATATTCATGGATAATGTATTTTGTTTACCTACTTGTTCCCAGATAATATCTCCATGTTCATCTCATAGGGACACAACTTGGGATTTTGACCTGTTTAAATACAGGTGGATAACGGTCAGATTGGTTCATCAGGAAGACTCGAAGTAAAGGGCGGGGTAGTACAGAATTTTCATATCAGTTAAAACTATTAGAATAAAAATAAGATTAAAATTTTGTACGCCAGGAGCGGGTTTCGTCTACAAAAGACTCATCAGTGACGCTCGAATAAAAAAAATAAAAAAAGGCAAAATCAAGTACGAAGTTGAAGTTTAAGGCATATGAATGTAAAGAATATACCAAACAAGCGTATGTTTTGACCTTTGCAAAATATAAAAGTGCGTATTAACTTTCCAATCCAAGATATAATCTTTCACAAAACCTCATAGTAATAGTGGTGCAGTTTTAGCCGTTAAAGGAGTACCTATCGGAATTTGCTTTGTCTATATTTACAAAAGTGCAACTTATAAATATATTGATGGATAAAGTAAAGAACCATGCGAGAGAATGGGTAAACAATAAAAAATAAGACCTTTTATAAAAATAAGCAGACGTGGTATAATTGCCAATGGGACAACTATTCACCAAAGTTAAAACAAAGTGGATGTTAGCAATTATAGGCAACCGTACGGCCTTCAACAATGAGAAAACCCATACTTTATATTCGGCTATAAAAGGCCCCGACATGAAAAATGTGAAACAATTCAATTGAGAAGAAAAATTTATAACAAAACACATTACGAAAATAAATGTGACAAAAATGAACTAACGACAACCTTTCTATATTTTATCTATTTTTTATTAGATAGTGTGTCGATTATCACCAAGGCTCCCAATGCCTATATGTTTAGACATATCACTTTTTTCTATGCAACACATAATTGTGCAAGCTCAAAAAGGCTTCTCACAATATTATATTTATATTTCTGAGAATATATTTTGACAGTTTCATAAAATAGTTAGAAATTGACAGTACACATGGAAAGCTAACATATTCCCTTCCCGACTCATAAGGAGATGCCAGAGAATCATTTATTTTTCGTCAACTTTTCCGTGAAATACGACAATACTATCATTCACCTATTCAATGGTACCAATCTGAGCAAGTTTGCATAATTCATTTTAATTCAAAAGAGAATAATTGAAATGTTTTATATTTTAAGAACAGTTTAAAGAAATATAAAAAATGCAACATCTTATTCAACGTTTCATTGTCGCATCTTTAAACAATAAACAAGAAGATTGTCCCAAAACACTTATACATTGTAGTTCATCTTTTCATTGTTTTATATTCGATATCCACATCATCTTACACAGTTATCGGCAACCTATAGCTAACCGAAGCAATACAAAATATTATGAGAATATATATCGTTATAATGTTTGAGTGTTGAATCGATTACATCTTCGTTTAAAGTTCGACAGTCAACGGTCATTGATGCCTTGAGGGCACAGTTTTACTTACCTCTTAAACTAAGTCTGAATGGTATGTGTAACTTTCAGTAAACAACATTTGATTTTTTCGTGATTTTACTAGATTTCAACCTTTCCTTTTACGAACCCTAAGCATTTGACAGTCTAAAAGATAACGCATAAATTATATGTACATTTACTATGTTACATGTTACATTTATACTTACAATTTGACCTATATCTTCTTTTACAGCAGCCATTTTGTAAACAAAAATATGTTGAAAATAATACAAAGTACAAATGCAAAAAAGTCATAAACTGTAAATACAAAACCAGATATGTGATAATAGATTTAAAGTTCCCTGGATAAAGGTAAGTTTAAATGCGTCTCACGTCTTTGAGAGTGTATAATCGGATATTGCGTCATTTATATTTAACATGTTTAGCAACAATTACTGCATTGAGAAAAAAATAGACCACACAATATACCTATTGATATGAAACGATGTGTGAATTTCAAGTATTGGCGTGTAATGTTATGTTGTTCTTTGTTTAAAGAATATATTACATATTTTATATGTTTTAAATGAAAAAATCTCTATAATAATAAGGTTAGAAAGCAACCAATTATTATATTGTCTCAAGAAATGAACAATATCTAAAACTAATAACATGACAGTTAACCTTTTGCAACACTTTATCTACAAAAAATGTTGTCGCAGTATAAATGCTATGTTTGTCAAGATTTGTAAATACAGGTTGTTCACAATCCACAATCGTTTTTGAGAAACCATATGCATGAAACATTTTGTTTTGGTCACTGCAATTTTCGTACTTTATTTGGTCTCTTAACTCTTTGGGTTAGAGCGTTACTGCCGAGTCTTGTAGACGAAACGCGCGTCTGGCGTAAAGAATTTTAAGCCTGGTATCTATTTTAGATTTATTTATGTACATATTGTTGTAATATGATGCTTTTTAACCTCGCCTATGTTCATCTAACTGATTCCGGTCAGGCACATTGCCAGTTGCTCTCTTCTTTCATGTATTTCTGTTGTTTGTAAATTCGTGTTGAAGGCCGATCTTATTTAGTTCCTGTTATATGTAATCAGACCTTATTAAAATTTGTTCCATTAATGTCAATATTAATATCTTAATAAAATACATGGACATGTGTATTTTGGTGAAAAGTGTTTTTTTACTTCAAAAGTATTTTTGTTATTGTCTCATTGATTTATTAAAGGCAACACTTAGTTTACTGATCTTTTGATCTCTAAAATACAATAAGAATATTAAAGTTTAAAAAAAAACCTAATGGAATCGTAAGAACTGCAAAGGAGTGAAACATGATGCCAAATAAAGTAAGAAGTTGAAGAGCACTGAAGACCCAAACTAAAACTCCGAAGGTTTTGCTAAATGCAGCTAAGGTAATCAATTCCTGGGGTAGAAAATCCTTGTTAATTCGAAACATTCAAAGTTTTGTAAACAGTTAATTATAATTATGACCATTTCAATGATAATTCATGTCAACACAGATGTGTTGACTTCTGGGCGTGTGATAAAACATACACTTAAAATAAGTACAAAGAGGATCTTACCATTGTAATTACTATATGAAAGATAACTGAAATAAAAGAACAAACAAATCAATAGACAATTATAACCATATTAAAGGATGCTCATAGTTAATGAAATAAAGCCTAAAGTACTTAATCTGGTAATAGAAAATCATGTCGACTTATGCTCTATTCTTCCAAAAAAAGTTTTAATGAATCTCTTCTGGTTCATAGTTTTCCGCCGTTTTTCTTGATCATAAAATACAAAAAATTTTGATTAATTTATCTTCCATTTATACATCATATTGAAATACAATCCTTTTAATGTATCATTTTGAAGACATGCATCATGTTGACTTTTTCTTAAAGTTTTGTATTAAGTTTGAAAATACAAATGCATGCCATCATGTATTTATGCAATGCATAAACTATGTTTCAATAAACTTCTTCAAAAACCTGAGAAAATAACAGATTTCCCCCCCCCCCCCCCCATTTTTCCATCTTAAAAGAACTGACCTAATGGCGGTTTTTGATTATTAATGTAGTATATTAGTATCAGTTAAACATGATTTAAATACTAGTACTATGACTTTTGACATTATGTACTTTTAATATTGATATATTAATTTTTTTTAATAACCTAAGTACCGATATCTAATTGCACATGTACCAGTTTAGGATTTAGTTTCCAGAAATTGTCTTTCTCGTATGTCGTATTCGGTATTTCGGAATCGTTCAAGATATGATACCGAATTTTTTGTTTTTTTTATATTCTATGTAATTGTTAGATGTTACTTTAATGAACATTATTTATTTATCTTGAAATAATATTAAGGTAAACTTGACAAGGAAATAAGTCCGTAGTATAATAAAAAAAAGTTGTAAACAAGACAAATGAATGGATATAGGATTCTTTTTATTTTCATCAAAACACGTAACAATATAAACACCTGCTTATTTGAAATTATACGCAGTATATATTTCTCTTAAAATCAATATCGCCTGAATTAATATACAGCGCAATATATTATATGTTTAAATACAAGAAAACAATGCCGATGAAATGGATAACATCAACGATCTTTTATATTGAAACATAAGACAGTCGTTAATATCTTCCAATCTTAAAGTCATCTTTGAGTAAGAGAATTATCATAGCGCAATATATTATTATGAAGTGTTTATGTGCCGTGTTTCTTTCAAACAAAGATATGAACGGACGATGACCTTTCCCCAGCTGATTTAAGATTTAATGTGTGTTAGAAGCATCTCCGCGCTATTAATCAAACCTGGTATGTAAACAGACCCAGAACGACTGATGAAGTAATTTAAGATAATAATTATAATAATAATAATAATAATAATATTAATAATAATAATAATAATAATAATTATAATCCAATGGAAAAAATAAAAATAAATACAAAATTAAAAAATATTTAATATATTTACATAACAACTTAAAAACAAAATAAATAAAATACAAATATAAAAAATATAAAAATTTGCGTTACGGGCAACATGCTTATGATTGATATGTATTTAAAAAATAAATAAAATACATATCTCAATAAAGAAATTAAATTCACAATATTCGAGCATCTATCGCTGCAACTGCAATAGACGATAGAGTGTAGATGTATTACTGTGACTTCAAATAACTTAGACCATAAGCAGAAAGTTATGAGCCGCTGGAGTATACATCTAACAGAAACATAACTCGTAGAGTATTAAAGGAAACCTCAAACAATGTGAACTTAATAGCAAAGAGAGCCTTTAATAGAGAGTATTGACAAGAGCTTGAAGCATAATTCGAAGAACACATGTTACTTCGAAATATTATACCTCTCTACGCGTGACATGTTGAGCGCTGGCCCATCCCATGCCAAAAATATGTAACTCAAGTATATTTAATACCTACTCTAAAATTATATACCTGCATGTTGAGCGCTAGCCCAGCCCATGCTTAGAGGGTATGGGCTCACTTTGCAACCTGAGACGGATAACCTCGAGTGAAAAAACCATTTGCACACTAAAACATGTATCCAAAAGAACTGTCAAATGGACAAACAAATGATTCGTTCACCCGACGAGAGGGCTGCCTAGTTACCCGTTTTATTCAGGGCTGCTTGAGAACTCAGGCAATAATTTTGTGACAAGTAAAGAATGGGTAACATCCATTATTACATTGCCCAAACGAAATGTGTTACACATGCTGCCCTTGTAACGCATTGAGTATCCCCAAAATTATTCCGAGATAGTGATTGTGCCATATTGGTTATGTGTACTGTAACACACCTTCGTTCTAAAAATAATTAGTGCTTAGTGATACAAATAAAATAAAAATAGAAATTGATTATATAAGAAAATACTTAACATAGTAATTAATTATAAATAGCCATCTACTAACTTAGTAAAGAAATAATGAAAATAACAGATCTGTCTGCTGCGAAACTTATGAATAATAATTTTTTTTTAACATTTTCAACAGATCTTGATCATATTGATGCCTTTTAACTTCCAATTATTAATATAGCGGGTGTATCCGTCAGATGTCCGACGCATCCCAGTTTGAATTATGTGATTTGGATACCATTAGGTGTATCTTTGAATTAAATATAAATAGCGCTCTGTGTAAAGCTTAATGCTACTGTAACCAATGTGTCACATATTTATACAACTGATCGTATAGACAAATATGATTTATAATAAGTTGATTAATAATTACTCTGTGACAAAAACAAAATGACAGTTTCTAAGATGCCTGTTAACGTAAATTAATTTGACAGTCAGCATTGACAGTTAATTACGTTAGTTTTGTCTGTATCTTCGGAATAACGCAGGTATCCGAAAAAATCCCGATTAAAGTAACAAATGGCAGCTGCAAGGAATTAAACACTTACATAAACTTTAATTAATGAACATTAATACACATTTGTAGTTCAATATAATATACAATTGATAATAAACGTAAAACCATAAAGGATCAGAGAGTAAACTTCATATAATGTAAAATCTTTTAATATATTACATGTTTATTAGTAAATTAATTCGGTTGGCAGAAATTCTTGGCTACATACAATATACAAGAATTATAACTAATGTAGAAAAATATATGGCTATTCCAAGTTACAGATCGTACAAGAAGGATTTTTAGGAATACCAGACTTGGGAGCATTTGTTTTTGTTTTTTCTATATACCCATACTGCAACTCTAAAGCTCTTTTCACATTAATGGTTTCAGTATAAAAAACTTCAACAGTCACATCCATATTTGCCATTACGGTGAGAGCACCATAACAATCTACTCTTAAACACAAATATGGATTATGAAAAATGTTTAATTCTTTCAAAAACTGTCGACAAAATTCGTTATCCATGGAGAACTTTGGAACCACAATGATTGTCACATGGTGTCGTTTATCATGACAATAAAAATCGGCAAAATATAAATTACACTCAGGATTGAACATTTCCAAACATTGGATATATAATCGAATAGGCCCAAAGTAAGAATATGGATCTGGCATATTCGTCGTAGTATCAATATAGGTACTGAAAAATAAACCAAACAACCTTCCATTAACTACAGAACCCTGTTCTCCACCATTACTTTTCAAATACGGTCGCATTTCTCCTTTCAGTTGTTTCATTATCATATCAAAATACTCCTTTGATTTATTCCTATAAAAGTATTGAATAGGTTGCATGTTCGGAGTAACTTTTCTTGTCCCAAATGCTATAGCAAGATTATACAATCGGTACGTATCCAGCAGTGATAAAACTGAAAAAAAATATGTTTTTACTGGAATTCTATTACTAAGCATAATAGTTTTCAGGAGCTGACTGTATC